GTCCATATGTGGAAGAAAAGTAAAACACTGTGGCGACATTGTCGCCACTAAGAGGAGAAAAGTGTAAAGACATCGTCATCGTTGTCCAGAAAAGGAAGGTGTGAAGACTTTGTTGTTGTTGAGCGTCTATTGTTGATTACCATCTATTGACCGAGGTTTATCACTATTTAGAGGAATATGCTTAGTCTTATAAAGTCTGCGCTGACGTCTAAAAGTGCGGGGGTTAATTGGTGTGCAAGTGTAAAAAAGAAAACAAGTTTAGGATAAAAGCCAATGACCGTATTTATGTTTCGATGAAACAGACCATACTTCGATCTGTCACTAATACAACGCAACAGTTCTAGCACTATTCTGCAACATCTAGTCTTAGACCGCAAAACGTGTATGACTGGAAAATAGTTAAGGATGGTATAATCGTCAACAATAAATAATCTTACACACAAACATAAATTGTAGTGACCTTGAATAAATTGCTGACTACTAGAAGATGTGTCTCTTGCATAGTTGTAGAAATAAAAAGGCATGTGACATACTAGGGGGTTAAAAACCAATAGAAAACAACAGTCTTTATTGATACTAGTCAGTGTTTACACTAAACAATAGTGTTTATTTGGAAGAATTAAAAATGTTAATTTGTAATTAGTTAATGTTTAGGTTAGATAATAAGATATTTACTTACATAGAGTAAGCTTATTACAATAAAGAAAACAATATAAAAACACAGTAGATGTATCTTTAATATTTTATATAGTGGTATTAAGGACCTAGAATCGCAATATTATTTTTTTTTATTTTACTTGGTTTTTACTGTGTATTGTAAATTAAAGAGGAAACTGAATAGTGTAAACCGTCTAGTATAGGAGCAGGATATATACCTAATAATACTGTAAATAAGACCAGTGTAAATAATATCGTAAATTCTCGTTTACTTAAGTCGGGCAGGTTAAATTTAAAGAATTTTGAAAATGAACCTGCAAAAGCTATTCTGTTAAACATGTATATAGTATATGCTGCACTAAACACAATAGAAGAACTTGCAAATGCACCTAATAAAGGGTGATTTTCAAAAGCACCATAAAGACTCATAAATTCACCTATAAAGTTCAATGATAAAGGAGTACCAGCATTCCCTAAACATAGTATGAAAAATAATATTGAGAACAAAGGCATAACTTGAGCCATTCCTCTATAAAAACTTATTAATCTTGTAGAGGATCTGTCATATAAGACTCCCCCAGCGCAAATAAATAATCCAGAAGAAACAAAACCATGAGCTAATCCTAAAACAATACCACCTTCAATTCCCTGTATAGTATTGCTAAATACACCTAGCAAGTAAACTGCAGCATGTGATACAGAGCTATATGCTATAAGTTCTTTGATGTCTATTGTTCTTAAAGTACTAAAGCTGGCATATATTATAGTAATTACACCTATAACATATATTAGAGGTGTAAAGAAATAATAAGCTTTAGGAACCAAAGGTAATATTAGTCTTAATATACCATACAGACTTAATTTTAAAACTATACCTGCTAAGATTATGCTTCCTGCCAGCGGTGACTCAACATGAGCTTTTAAAAGTCAAGAGTTTAAAAATATTGTGGGTGTTTTAACTGCAAATGCTATGAATATACCTGCAAATAAAAATAATTGTGTAGTAAAATTGAAATTGGTTTTATACAAAGCATCAAAATCAGTTGTTCCCATTATTGAAGACATTGTAAGGATAGATAATAATAAAAATAAAGAACCTAGTAGTGTATATAAGAAAAGATAAAAACTTGCTCTTATTCTATTACTTGAACCAAACATACCTATTAGTATGAAAAGAGGTGGCAATATGCTTTCAAAAAAGATATAGAATAGTAATATATCTAATACCATAAAGACTGCTAATAAAAGTGTTTCTAGTAAAAGTATAATTATCACATAAGATCTTACATTCTCTGAAATAGAGTTTCAATTTGATAAGAGTGATATTGGCATAATTATTGTAGTTAAGAGAACAAAGTAAATAGATATTCCATCTATTCCTAAATAAAAATCAAAACTGCTTATACTATGATATTCTTGGACAAACTGAAATTGATTGCTACTAAAATTAAACAATATAAACACTATCATGGATATAAACAAATTAACTATTGATGTAGATAAGGCAATAACTTTCACTTGTTTTAAGTTGATAGAATTATTTGCGTATGAAGTTGATATAAAAAATATACCTGTTAAAGGTACCAACAATAAAAGTGTAAGTAACATAAAAAAAAAAATCTTAATTAATTAATAAATATCCCTCTTTGTTTGAACTTATAGTAAAAAGGGTAAGTTGTTTATTCTGTCACAATATATATATCTATATATTTGGTTGCTAGGTTTATTTTTTTTATTGTTTTATTGTTATAACTATGGCTCCCACCATAGCTAATAAAAGTATTAAAGATGTAAGGATTAATCATAAAGGATAGCTAGTGTATATGATATTTCCAATACTTGTGATGTGAGATGTTTCTGCTAGGGCTCCGTCTCATATATGGGAAGTTACAAAGAACAAATCGTTATTTACAGGGAAATCAATTGACTTGTTCAAAGTATATGCAGTATTATAGTAAAAATGGTTACTTATATTACCTTCTGTTGTCATTCCCATACTTTCAAGTTTACTCTGTATAAATAGTTCACTGGGTGTGAATATATTCGTAGGCAGTAGTTTATATAATGACATATTAAAAAAAATACCTATAATAACAGCTAGGGGTATACTATTATTACTATCACTTGTAAGTTCAGATATTCTGATATTAATTAACATTAGTATAAACAAAAAAAGTATTGAAACTGCTCCTACATATACCAATAAATAAGATAAACCTATGAAGTTCATACCGAGCATCATTAAGTAACCTGCTATATTAAGAAATAATCCTATTAAAAACAGTACAGATACAATAGGGTTTTTGCTTATAATTACAAATATTCCACATAGAATCGACATAAAAGAAATAAAGTTTACCATACTGTAGTCTAATCCATTGGTAAAAGTTTCATTCAAGATGAATAGGTTTGTCATATAGTGCTTTTCTTTAGTTATCTCAATTTGCCGTTACATTGTGGCAATATAAATGTCTTTACAATGGAGATAGTTTATACATATTTTCTTTTTTTTCGATCTATTGTTCGTGTAATCAAGATAAGAACTTTTCAAGTGAAATGGATTCTATAACAATAGGCATAGAACTGTGTAGTATTCCACAGATTTCTGAACATTGTCCAAAGAATGTCCCTTCTCTGTTCACAAGTACAGACACTTGGTTAAGTCTTCCCGGATAAGCATCACATTTTATACCCAGGGCAGGACAAGAATAAGAATGTATCACATCTCCAGAAGAAATGATAAATCTGACATGAGTTAATTCTGGTAAGATAACTCTGTTGTCAACTTCCAACATTCTTAATCCTCCATCCTGTAAATCTGATTCAGGTACCAAGTATGAGTCAAATTCCAGTTCTTCGTCGTCGTCATTAAGAAAATCAGGGAATTGGTAACTTCAGTACCACTGGTGTCCTTCTACAAACACTGTTAATGAAGGATCGGTTACTTCATCCATAAGATAAAGTAACTTAAAGGATGGAAAGGCGATTGAAATCAAGATAAGAGCAGGAGTAATTGTTCAAATTAACTCTATAAGTGTTCCATGGTTAAGATATTTATTGCTAATAGGTGATTTGTCGTTTGCATAGTTTCTAATCACAGAAGCTATAATTCAAGCTACACCAAATAAAATTATAACCAAATAAAACATGATATTGTCATGTAGCTCTATAAGTGCTTCCATTTGAGGGCTTGCACTGTCTTGAAAATAGACACCTCATGGTCTAGGTGCGTCACAATGGATAAATAAGTTTGTAAAAAGGTTCATCATGATATATTAAATTTGGTCTGTGGCTAATGTTTATAGTTTTATGTGCAAAATGATAAAAGAATTAGAAACGAATATTAAATGGGAAAACTTTGTGTAAACGTGTGATAATAATTATGAAATAGGGCTAAGGAAAAAAAAAATTCTTACTTGCCTGGGATTTGAATAAGGACCCAGATATTAATAATATCTTTTATTAAGGAATAGGTGATTTGAACACCTAACCTTCCGTGTGTAAAACGGTTGCTCCACCAATTGAGCTAATTCCTTTGTATGATAACTATAATATTTAAAACCGGGAGAGAAATTTGAATTCTCATTATTAATGCATGAAATTAAAGTTTTAACCAATTAAACTATCCTGGCTATGTAGATCGCATGATGGGTTAAGGGTGAATACCCTGATTTGAACAGAGAACCTACTGTGCCACATACAGTTGCTCTACCTATTGAGCTATATTCACCTTCTTTTTATGTTGGAGTGATTCGAACACTCAATAGTAAATACCAAAAATTTATGACTTACCGATTAGTCCACAACATATTTAGAGTTGAATGAATTTTCCTTTTTTATGTTTGATAAAGGCTTAAGATAAAATGCATATAATTAAATTTTTAAGGTAAATCCGACTTGAACGGATAAGATTTAAAATCAAATAGTCCTAAGCTATTCATGTCTGCCAATTCCATCATTACCTTTTCCTATGCAATTTAATTAACAGTGCATGTTAATGCTCGAGATAAGATTTGAACTTACAACCTAAACATCTTCAGAGTTCCGCTCTACCAGGTTGAGCTTCTCGAGCTTTAAATAATATGTTCCTATTATATTCACATGGAGATATTAGGACTCGATCCTAAAATAACGATATGCAAAATCGCAGTTTTACCAATTAAACTATATCCCCTTTTATTTACGCCCTCTTGGTTTAAGTTTATACCCTTCCATTGGAGAAATATCTTTTGAGCACCGTGCACGAGGCAATACCAATTATATCTTTGCGCAGATCGGTAGTCACTCACCCTTTTTACCGTGACTTCCTTTTGTAGTTTATAATCACACTAGTATGCATCCATTAACCCACCTGGGGATCGAACCCAGGATATAGCAGTGAAAGTGCCATGTCTTAACCACTTGACTAGTGGGTCTTTATAAAACTTTGGTGTGAACTCCGTTCATATTAAGATATCCAAGAAACGACTTGAACGTTTACGATAATGTATCAGCGAATCTTAAGTTCGCCCTGTCTACCAATTCCAGCACTCGGATTTATAGCTATAATAGTAAGGCCAGAGTGATTCGAACACTCATCTAAGCTATCATGAGCAGCTTGCTCTACCAATTAAGCTATAGCCTTTAAAATTTTTATCATATATGTTATTTATCTTTTTTTCTTTAGTGCGGGCAAAGGATTTGCACCTTTAATTACAGGTCATGAGCCTATTATGTTACTGTTACATCAACCCGCATTATGCTTTTTATTTATTCTTATAAGCTTATTAAATGATATAGTAATATAGAAAAGCATATTTTATTTAAAGCCCAGTACAAGTATTGCACTTGTTTCTACCGATTACAAAACGGTTACATTACTTTTATGCTAACCGGGCTGTATATAATTTTATTGTATGATAAGTGTGTTATTTAGTTTATAACAAAATTAGTACCTTGTACATTAAGAAATTAAAATCCTTTAAGCCAAAGCCTATACAATTTCCTATATATAATGGAAATTCGTAGTATTATGCTACGTGTATTTAAGAATATCCTAAGGTAAGCTTCGCGCCTATATGCATTCAGCGCTTATCTTTAGCCAACATAGCTTTCCTGCCGTGCCTATATTTTTGTTTTCAAGAGTAAATGAAAACTGAGCGTCGTTTTAATTAATCCACGATAGGGTACTCTTAGAAGCCATCAAAAAGGCTTTCCCCCCTTATTTTCTAGGTATTAAATCATATACATACTCACATATAAACAACAGGTAAACCAGAGGTTAACATACCCAACTCCTTTCGTACGAAGGGGCTATCCTTATTTGATTCTAATTCCCTCTAGA